AACAAACAAATAAATAAATAAATAAAACAAAACAAAACTCAAATTATTTGTCTGTACACTGGGTTTTGTAATTGTAGGGGAGGAAGACAATTTCTCTACCCTCTAGGTCCTTCTGGCTGGCCTAAGAATTAAATTGACATGAGACAGAATGACAGGAGAAAATCAAACAAAGTTTAATTACATATATACATGGGAGAAACCCTGGAGAACTGAGTAACTTGCCAGAATGGCCAAAGCTGTCATCTTAAATACCATCTTCAGCTAAAGACAAAGGAAGATGTTGGGGGTAGTGGTTTGGGGCTTCAAAGGGGAGGAAGGCAATTTACATGGAGAGGGAAGTGCAAATGGGCCAACTATAGACAATGAGACCTGAGAGAGACATTTTACATTTCACTACAGTTATCTTATGGTATTAGCTCCTTTCTGGAACAGGACTTTTATCGTAAGTCTTTTAGGCAGTTAGGTAGGGAGGTCAAACTTTCTTTCAAAGTCTTTTTGTCCTTAAAAATAAAGACAATGAGCCACATTTTGGGGTGGCCAATTCTGATCCCCCACATAATACTGAGGAAAAATATTTTTAAGGTATTTATTTACACATATTTAATGCATGAATATGCTCTCAGGGTTAAAATTTATATAGTAAAGATAAATCAGAAATCCCTTTTGACGTTCCCTTCCACTCCCCTCCTTAGATGCAAAAGTTATTACAAATCACTGCATTGAATGATCATTCAATGATCAATTCATTCATTGAATGAAATCATTCATTCAATTGTTCAACAAATATATATGAAGATCCATTATGTGTTGGGCACTCTGCTTAATAATGACCAAAATCACATCTTAGTGAAGTTTATACATTTACAGTCAGAAACAAAAAAAGACATTAAGTAATCACACAAATAAATGTACAACTGCAGCTCACTTAAAATCTAGGAATGAGAGGTACCTGCTGCCATAAGAGCATACATTAGAGAGTCTTGACCTGATCAGCGAGGTCAGAGAAAGATTTCTGAGAAATGACTATTGACCTAGAGCTGAGTGGTCCAATACAGTACCCACTAATCACATGCGGCTACTTAAATTTAAATTAACTAAAATTAAATAAAATTTAAAATTCAATTCCTCATTCTCACTATCCACATTTCAAGCACTCAAAAGCTACACATGGCTAGTAGGTACCAAATTGGACCATGCACATATAGAACATTTGAACATCTCAGAAAGTTCTATCAGACAGTGCTCAGTGAAAGAATGAATAGGTGTTAACCAGGCAGAGAAGGAAAGGAAGAACATGCCAGGCAAACAGAGCCCCAAATGGCAGGAGGCATCATGGAGAGAGTAAAGGCCTCACAGAGAGCCCGTGTGCCCCGTCGCTCTTAGGAGGCGTAGAAGAGGACCAGGAAAAGCGGTCGAAAATGAAGCAGGATAGGACATATATCTTCCAAATTGCTAGAGGAAAAAAATTAAACAAACAAAAATCAATGCAATGAAAGAGAGTGTAAGAAAATAAGAAGCAAAGGAAACAACAAAAGTGCTCAGTAAATAGAGGGAAAAAAAGATGGCAGAGATGAGATCAAATACATCAGATCTAAATTTGCATACTATGTACAGGAGGCTGTGTTAATCTGCTGGAGGGAAGATACTACACTCAGCACAGCAGCTGCAGGGGCCGGGCAAGAGAATTAAATGTGTTTATGAGAGGAACCACCACCCTTAAGTCTTTGAGGGTGGCATTACTTTCTGCCATTACCCCAGGCATGTGATGCGGTTTTTAATTTCCATGTGGAGACAGTTTTAGGGCTTCTACTTTGCCTTTTCTACTACAATAATTCTTACTTATGAGTGAAGGTACTAATGCGAGGGGCTGCCAACTTCTAAATACAGCATTCCAAATGGGAATGATATTTGGGAAGCAGAGAAATAATCTTTGACCTCTGGTTGACTGTTATCTATGGATTATCTCTCCTCTCTCTGAAGATATTAATTATATTTATCATAGAGCCTTAGGATTTTTGCTCTATCACTTTTTCCTTTGATGTTAACTTTTCTACTTGATGATTTTTGATATCTTTTTTTTTATGTCGTTGGTTATGCACAAATGATGATCCTTGGTTGTCTCTCTTCAGCTTTGTATTTGGGAATCCCTGTTCACCAGTCGTTCTGTTTTACATGACCTACCTCCAGAGACTGTGGCAAAGGAGTAAGACCATACTTGAATAGAGAGTCAGCTGGTAGTTTGTCTTCTGGGATTTGTTGCTCCCCTCTGCTCCTAAAATTCATTAGCCACTGGGGCATTTCTCTGCCTTTCCATGAGCATTTCTCACACTGCCTTAGCCTATGGACAAAGATAGTGATAGTTTATTATGGGTGGACATGAGGGAACTACCAACTTCTCTAATTAATCACCCTGATAAACACCCCAGAGCCACCTCTCACTTCTTGTATCTAGGCTTGGTGCTCCCCTAAACCTTTATACACTCTACCCAGAGTCATCAATTGTTAAAGTTTTGCCCCACTTTTTCTATCATTTTCTCAATCTGTTTATCTAATATATATTCTTTTTTTGAACTTTTTGAGAAAAGATGCAGAAATCATGCCCTAAATATTTCTGTGTGTATTTCCTAAGAATAAGGCCATTCTCTTATATAACCACAATTATCGAAATCAGGAAATTTAACATTGATAAAAAATGCTCTTATCTAATCCATAGTGCATATTCAGATTTCATTATTGTCTTAAAAATATATTTTATAGCAGTAATTATTTCTAGTCCAGGATCTAATTTAGGATCACGTATTGCATTTAATTATCGT